CGGGATTTTCAATACAAATGTCAAGACAGTTCTACTGTATGTAGCGGAAACTTGGGGAACTACCAAAGCCATCATCCAGAAGATACGAGTATTTATGAACAGTTGTCTACGCAAAATACTTCGTATTCGTTGGCCAGACACCATTAACAACAACCTACTGTGGGAGAGAACAAACCAGATTCCAGTGGAGGAGGAAATCAGGAAGAATCGGTGGAAGTGGATAAGACACACACTACGAAATGCACCTAACTGCGTCACGAGACAAGCCCTCGCATGGGAGCCTCAAGGTCAAAGGAAAAGAAGGAGGCCAAGGAACACATTACGCCTAGAAATAGAGAAAGATATGAGAAGAATGAACAAAAATTGGACAGAACTTGAGAGGGAAGCCCAGGACAGAGTTGGTTGAAGAAAACTGGTGGGCGGCCTATGCTCCGTTGGGGGTAATAGGCGTAAGTAAGTAAGGAAGTAAGTAATATAACTAACTGAAAAAGCAACTCATTCTCTACATAAGTCAATAATTTGAAAAAAAATCACAAAGAATCTTTATGCTTTTTTTCATTGATAACAATTCTGTTTGCCTGTTAACCTTGCTTTATTTTTACTTTTAAGATAAGAAACAAAATTGATACTCATCAATTACTTTGAACAATGACCCATTTGTTTTCAAATCAAATGAATGAATATGAATGGAATGTGAGAATTTGATGAGTCGATGATATATTGATTTTTTTTCGCCTTGCCAATCTGCTTCAATTCATAATTTTGTTTAAAAGTTTGAAAAAATTAGATTTTCTAAGTTTATGAAAATATGTATTATACCTTAGACGAAGAGAATTTCTAGACTACATATATATACTTTTCTAGATATATGATGACGTATTGACTGGGACTTTCTGTACAAAATCAACTAATTACACAAGAAATTATCTTTAGTTGACTTTTTACAGTATCAACATTTTTCATCGTGTTCTTATTTTACTGTCTAAAAAAAAATTAATCTGACTCCTACTCTACTTTCTCAACCATATGAATTGACCCGTTTTTGAATTTGTTTCTAATACTACCATTAGATAGACTAACACATATATATATGTAAGTGAGTAAGTAGAGAGATAGACTGATAAACAGATAGATAGATAGATAGACAAACATATAGAGTTAGAAGATATATTGAGTAACACACACTGAAAATGATAGCTAGACAGACTAAATTAGGTCAAGACTTTAAGGAGAAATAGACAGACAAACTGCTAACTTTCTCTGGAAAGAAATATTTTCTTATTTACTGTAGTAAGTAGTAGTAGGAGTATTTGAGTAGAAACAAAAACCTCCTTGCCCTCTACGTTACGTATCATCTCATTCGTTTGATCAATTATGTGGAGTACTTTTTTTGTTTGAAAGCATCGTATTACATATACATATATATAAACGTATATCTAATTGGACTAGTCTAAAGAAACTGTAAAATATTTGGGTTCTTTTTGCAGCTTGACAATGTATTTCCTTTTGACGATAATAAAAGACACTATAGGTATCGGGTCATTTTATCACTCATTGTTAATGAACAAACATTTCAGAGTTTTACTCTAAATGAATTCATGTTTTTTGGAATTGGAAAAGAGGTTTGAAAAGAGGAAAAAAATAAGTCGATCAATATAGTGGTATTTTAGTTTATTGGAAATTTCTAGGAATCAAGATACGTTTTTCAGTATAATGTAATTTTTAATTTTAGAAAGTTACATTTATTTGATTATACACATTCAATGTATCAATTACTGTTTTGTAATTTCTCAAATTGAATGTATGTGACAAACTGACTAATTTACTGATGAATAATTCACCTACTTATTAGTAGTCAGTCAGTCAGATGCAACGTAAAACTTTGTACGTAAGTACATCAGTTCATGTTGCCATACCACATCAGCACAGAGATGTAATTATCAATTCAAATCCAATAGTAGTAGAGGTAGTAAAGGTATTAGAAGTAATCGAAGAGGTTAGGATTAGAAAATATTATTCAAGAAGCATGATTCAGTGAGATAAGTTTAGAAAGTCAAAACTAGAGGTGTTGAAGATTCCAGAAGATTAGGATTTGAGAGAACACAAAGAATGAATGCACCGACGCCATTGCAAACGATTTTGAGCCATGTCATTCAATGTCTTTAACCATCGATTAATATCATCTTGCGGACCCCAACCAGGTAGTCGACAATTACCGACATGGCTAAGTCCATTCGTTAATGATTTCATGGATTTCTGCCATGTTTTGGTTTGGCCGCCCCTAGCTTTCTTCCAACCTACTCCTATACCACAAAACAAAGCTCTTCGAGGCAGTCGGTGGTTAGACATAGGCAGAACATATCCCAACCACCTCAACTGATGAATTTTCATTACTTCATCTATTGATCTGCCATTCTTACCTAGCACCCGATTCCTAATAACAGCGTTGCTTACTCGGGTGTCCCAGGATATACGAGAAATGCTTCGAAGACACCTATGATCGAAAACCAGTAACCTACGAATATCTTCTACTCTAACTGGCCATGTTTCACAGTCATATAGTAGGACGGAGCGAACTACCGACCGTAGCTGCTACCTTGACGCGGTGGTCGGGCTTGCCTATCGTGATGACCCAACCGAGCTATACTGGCTGGAACATATGTTCCTCAAGGTTCTACCATGCCAGGCTGGTCGATTGGAGAACGATGAGACTAAAAGCAGCTACTCCAGGTTTGAGGGCGAAGTTGCATTGCTGACTGCAGAGGGGTGTGACAGCAGTAAGGTGTTTCCCTCGGATAACCAGCATCTGCAGCGATGCTGCCTTCTCACTAGGAGGGAAGGGTTAGAAAAGGTCGACCCTAAAAATGTCACACCTCACCCTACCTCACGGATTTCCGTCTCCTTGGGTAAGGGTGCCCACTAAGGGCCTTTAAGAACGGAGATAGTCTTCAAAATACCTTTCATAAAAAGTTAG